TGAGGACTGTGTTTAGAAACACTGGTATATGTTTATAAACTGCAGCCTGTATGAAGACATTTTGAATTCTGATTGCTTTTCTAATGAAATCTTTGCAGCCTTAGGCAGCTTGAGATGAAGTCATTTGTTCTCTGACATTCTTAAATGTCAAAATGACACCTGCACAGTCAACAGAGGATTCCTAATGGACGGGACACAAACTCTCTCAAGCTGGGTACACTGAGCTCAAAAATAACACTAGGAAACAATGATGCTAAGAGACTCTTGGCTTCATGAACTGGAAGCGCCAGTTCATGCATGGGAGTGATGAGAGCAGGCACAGCCCCGTGTGGGTGCAAACCATAGGTTCTCGCACTGGAGGTCGAGTTGGCTTTTTTAAGAGGGTGGCTCACATGGAGCGGAGGCTGTGGCTGGAGGATCTTGTGCATGGGTCTCAGTGCTGCCACCGGAGGGGAGCCCACTGGCCTCGTTCCTCTCCAGCCTCTGCACCTCACAGGCCCAGCATGAAGGCAGTACTTGATGCAGATTTGCTGAAGGACAAAAAAGGTGGGAGGGAAAGACCGAGACCAAACCCTGGGCAATGCTTTCCCCATGGCTGAGAGGTGGCAAGTCTGGGCGCAGGTCACGTGCCCCCAGAGTCACCTGAGCCAGGATGACCACTTTTTCTTCAAAAATGGAGAAAAATGGGCCCGGTGCAGTGGCTTATACCTGTAATCCCAGCACTTTGGGAGGCTGTGGCGGGAGGATCACTTGAGCCCAGGAGGAGTTTGAGACCAGCCTGGGCAACATAGGGAGACCCTATCTCTACTTAAAAATTAAATAAATAAATAAAAAGCCAGGTGCAGTGGCTCACGCCTGTAATCCCAGCACTTTGGGAGACTAAGGCGGCCGGATCCCGAGGTTAAGAGATTGAGATCATCCTGACCAACATCGTGAAACCCCGTCTCTATTAAAAAACACAAAAATTAGCCAGGTGTGGTGGCGTGCGCCTGCAGTCCCAGCTACTTGGGAGGCAGAGGCAGGAGAATTGCTTGAATCTGGGAGGTGGAGGTTGCAGTGAGATAAGATCGTGCCACTGAACTCCAGCCTGGCGCCTGGCGACAAAACGAGACTGTCTCAAAAAAAATAAAAGGAAACTGAATTCAGCCTTGAGAGGTCTTGGGAACACCCATTTATGAACACTGGCCCGCGTTCTCCACACCATTCTTCCCTTTCCCAGTGAGGGGCTGGTGGCGCGACTCTGGAGCCAACAGGAAGGAGCACCCCGGGGCGGCTGCGGCATTAATTACCTTCCAGGTTTGTGTCACGCCCCTTACCAAGTCTTGTTGGGGATGAAGGCACGTAAGTACCTTTTGCTGCAGCCGCGCCGTACGTCTGAGTGACTAAGGGGCAGTCGTGAGAGCCAGAGTCCAAGATCTCATTGGCCGTCTCCAGACTGCCATCCAGCCTGGAGGGGAGAGAAAGTGACACAGCTCAGCGTCTCCACTCAGGGTGGCCTCTCGGGGGCAGCACATGCCGGCAACAGAGCCGATGCGCCACTCACCACACAGGACGCCAGGCATCCGCCACGCCGCAGCAACTTTAATCTCTTTGTGTATCTGCACACATTTTTACATGAAGAGTTTTACATGGAAAGTCTAAAGAGGGAGTTATATCTAATGAGGCAATATTTCGCTTTTATGATGGAGAAACATAATAACTAGGATTTACTGTTAAAAAAGACCCCATCTCTACAAAAAAATAATTAGCTGGATATGTTGTGTGCCTGTGGTCCCAGCTACTAGGGAGGCTGAGGTGGGAGGATCCCTTGAACCCAGGAGCTCAAGGCTACAGTGAGCTGTGATTGCACCATGGCACTCCAGCGTGGGCAAGTGTGAGACCCTGTCTCTAAAATAAATAATTATAGTATTGTTAGAACTTTTTGTCATAAAAAATGTGTAAGACAGAATGAAAATGCATTGCTTCCTAATGAACAAATGTTAACTCCCTGTTTTCCAAGAGCAAACCCGTCCCCTACAGTGAGACAGGAGGCTCTCAACCATGTGCAGTGAACTGTGGGGGCCACCACGCTGTGCCTTCCTTCCCAAATGCAAAGCTCCACCCTTTGGAAGAGGGCCCGGCCTCCCTGTGCCTCTCCCCAGCTAAGAACAAATGCAGCTCCCACCACCCCTGTGTCGCCTCTGTGCCCAGTCCCTGAGGGAGCCCTGGTGCCGCATCCATTTCATCTGGGAAAGCAAAGCTCCTGACCAGCATGGCATGAGCTGCCACACTGGAATCTGCCCCTCTATGTCACTGGTTTTCAAGGAAATAAACAAATATATGCCAGGTGCCCCAAAGGCCACCTGCCAGCGTGGAGCAGCTTGGTGCAGTGGGGCCGGGAGCAGACTCACCGGTGCTGCTTCATCAGGGCACACTCGCCGCCCTCCTGGGGGTCCAGGTTGTACATGTACAGATACCCGTCAGAGGCGCCCACCAGCAACCTTGGGATCTTCTGAATTCTAGGGAGAATCAAGAGTAGCCACGTTCTAGACAATCTTCACAAGAAGGGGCTTATTACACAGGCAGCCTCACTCTTGGCAAGGTGAGGGAGGAGACCCCAGCAAAACGAGCACTAGGGCAGCTCTGGGCATTTAGTGCACCATTGACCCGGCCCACAGCACCAAGACTGCATTCCGTGCGCTGAGCCCTGAAGCCCACAGGAGGAGAGAGCAGGACAAAACCGGTTTTATGGCTTCTGTGAATATTATGGGTTGTCATTGTCAGAGAGCTTTTCGACGACACTAGTCAGATAACAGAACCAGAAAATGATGTTTAGAGATGCACGGAATCCCAAAGCCCTGCTATCACTGGAGGTAAAGACAATCTTTCCTGCACATAGCACAGAGCCTTAGACGATCCCAGGCACCTTCACAGGCCCCGTGTGCATTCTGAAGCTGGACCCCGGAACTGGATGGAGGCCTGAGACTCGGAAAGTGCAGTTAACTATGGCACGCCCACGTGGTTTGACTTAACGTCTTCTATTAATACTGCAGACCGTCAACAAAAACAGAACAGCGGACCATGTAGAAATGAACCCCACATGAGACTTAGGAAGTCTCTAACAAAAAACAAATAAAATAAAGAAAAAATAAACCCTGCACAGAGCAGCAAGCCTAGCACCTGCTAGGGCACCTCCCACCCCCGATGACTCTAGATGGAGCCCCAGCTCTAAGGAGCTGCTTTTGTTCAGGAGAAACATGGAAAGGATCATGAGCCGCCAGAACTGGGCCCCTCAGCCTCAGGTGCTCAGGGCAGGGGACGGAGACACCGGCTCTACTCACGTGGCTAGCGAGCAGATGTTTTTGTGGCCGCAGAATGGCAGGCGGACCGTGGCGAAGGCACGGCCCTGGTTGAACATTTCTGTCACTTGGGAAGGCAGGTAGCTGGTGGAAGCCATGAGCACTTTCCCAAAGTACCCAGTCCAGGTGGTGGGCTCCTCTGGGGGTCTGGAAGGAAAGGCCACCAGACACATGAAGCTGCACCCTCCCTGGGGGGCCAGCCACCCCCTACTCACATAGACATACAGCTCTGGAGCCAAGAGCCAAAGTCTCCATTCTTCACAGGAAAACTAAAAGGGTTGGTTGGTTACATGCAGACACTCGGAACCCCAGGGGTGTCACAGAGCTTCCTCTGGGAGGCATCGGAGGAGGGGGCGCTCAGGCTCCAGGGCAGGGGGATCGTGGCCCTTGTGTGGCCATGGGCAAGACACGGCAGGTGACCACACGTCCCCTTTGGAAGGGTGTGATGGGGCCTGATGACCCCTGCTAGATCTCTGTAACAGAAGTCTCCAAAAGCCTTGAGTATAGACCCAAAATTGTTATTTTCCCATAGCCTATTTGTGTGGTTATTCATCATTTTTTGGGGGGCAGGGCAGGGCATGTTCCATTTGTTTTTAAAATTGTGATGAAATATATATAACAAAATTTATTATTTTTAACTATCTTAAGTATGATATTATAATACTGATCTGAGTGGGATGTACTTTCTAAACTTTTTAAAGACAGGCTGGGCACGGTGGCTCACGGGCAGATCACTTGAGCCCAGGAGTTTCAGATCAGCCTGGGCAACAGAGTGAGATACCATCTCTACAAAAAATTTAAAAATTAGCCAGGTGTGGTGGCACATGCCTGTAGTCCCAAGTACTCAGGAAGCTAAGGCAGGAGGATCATTTGAGTCCAGGAGGTTGAGGCGCAGTGAGTAATGACTACCACTGCACTGCAGCCTGGGTAACAGAGTAAGACCCTCTTTTTTTTTTTTTTGAGATGAAGTCTTGCTCTGTTGCCCAGGCTGGAGTGCAGTGGCAGTCTCAGCTCACTGCAACCTCTGCCTCCCGGGTTCAAGCGATTCTCCTGCATCAGTCTCCCAAGTAGCTGGGACTATAGACACATGCTACCAGGCCCGGCTAATTTTTTTTGTATTTTTAGTAGAGACGGGGTTTCACCATGTTAGCCAGGATGGTCTTGATTTCCTGACCTCGTGATGCACCTGTCTCAGACTCCCAAAGTCCTGAGATTACAGGCATGAGCCACCGCACCCAGTCAAAACCCTCTTAAAAGACCGCCCTCCCTCTACATATTCATTGCAATAGTAAATACTTACGGAAGTCACCCATGTCTCTGCTTACCCATGGGCGGGGAAGAGACACGGCATTCACCCTTGAGGGCAGTCTGATCACAGACAAAAGCAAAAAGAGGATGTCCACCTGGACCCTTCCTGCCCCACGAGAGGCCTCTGCCTGTCCTATGTGCTGCCGGTGGGAGAACCTGCCTGCTGCGGCCTGCCCTCCTCACCGCCAAGCCCGGATGTGGCAGTGCTGTTTCTATGGCCAGCTCCAGGGTCCTCATCGGCCAACAGTATCAGAGGGTGGGACACATCCTTGCTTCCATCTCATCCCATCAGCAACTGGCAACAAAGGGTTCTGATTGTTTTTAAAGGAAGGAATGTTTGCAACTCACTTTTCTTTCACAGTCTCGAGTTTGAAGATGTGCACGGTCTCCGTGTTGCTGGAGGCGGAGAGGAACATGCCGTCCATGCTGAAGGCCAGGGAGCAGATGCTCACGCACCTGGGGAGACGTGCAGGTCAGGGCGGGCCAAAGGAGCCAGCGGCTGCCCCAGGGGCTCAACTCAAGTGGCAGAGAAGAGTTCCTGTCACGGGCACACTTGGGCCTGCTGGTAAGTTTTATTCCCTTCCAGCCACCTTCTCAAACATTTTTCTTGAGAGAGGAAAATGTTCGAAAGGAAATACTAAGCACAACTGGTTAACACAGCTGCAACCTTCCAGGTGACAAAAGGAATCGGGATTTCACTAAACCACTTTTAGCCGCATTAGGATGGATTTCTAGTCCTAAGGTGAGTAAAAGAAAACTCTGTGGCCGGGCACGGTGGCTCAAGCCTGTAATCCCAGCACTTTGGGAGGCCGAGGCGGGTGGATCACGAGGTCAAGAGATCGAGACCATCCTGGTCAACATGGTGAAACCCCGTCTCTACTAAAAATACAAAAAATTAGCTGGGCATGGTGGCGTATGCCTGTAATCCCAGCTACTCAGGAGGCTGAGGCAGGAGAATTGCCTGAACCCAGGAGGCGGAGGTTGCGGTGAGCCGAGATTGCGCCATTGCACTCCAGCCTGGGTAACAAGAGCGAAACTCCGTCTCAAAAAAAAAAAAGAAAACTCTGTAATTTAAGTTACAGCAATTCTTTCCATGCCAGAGTAAATCGGCAACCTAGGTAAGGTTTAAGAAAGAGTAAAGGGCCAGGCGCAGTGGCAGTGGCTCACACCTATAATCCCAACATTTTGGGAGGCCAAGGTGGGTGGATCATGAGGTCAAGAAATTGAGGCCATCCTGGCCAACATGGGAAACTTTGTCTCTTTTAAAAATACAAAAAATTAGCCAGGCATGGTGGTGTGAGCCTGTAATCCCAGCTACTCAGGAGGCTGAGGCAGGAGAATTGCTTGAATCTGGGAGGCAGAGGTTGCAGTGAGCTGGTATCTTGCCACTGCACTCCAGCCTGGGCGACAGAGCAAGACTCAGTCTCAAAAAAAACAAACAAAAAACAGAGCAAAACTTTGAACATGCAAAGTGGTTCAAGTGTATCTTAAAAACCAATCGGCATCCCAAAGCCACTAAATTCATGTGAATTTCTTCATGACCGTAGAACTGCAAGACAGTTAACCACAGGCTAACCCTGTCCATAATAGTAAGGGATTTTCTTGGAGTCAGTATTTACCGCATGTATGAATTAGGTATGGGTAGAAATTAGGAATGGTTCTCGCCTTAACACAGCGTTCAATGATGGAGGTGGGGTTAGGGAGGTGCAAATGAAACTGACTTTGCAAAATCATGACTAAGACGGTGAAAGAGATCTAACTTAACCGACTCCATCTTGCTACTCATCTCCACGCTGTCCTTGTTCCTTCCAGGGCATAGGCTGAATTAACTTTGGGAGAAACTTTGCTTACGATATTTTGCAGACCCTGCACTTGACAGATCTGCTGGCCCCTCCCAGATCAATCAACTGGCTCATCTGATCCCGTGGCCCCTACCCAGGAACTGACTGAATGCAAGAAGACAGCTCCAATTCCCTGTGATTTCATCTCTGACCCATCAGCACTCCTGGCTCACTGGCTTCCCCCCACCCAAGTTATGCTTAAAAACTGCTCCCCAAATGCTCAGAGACACTGATCTGAGTAATAATAAAACTCCAGTCTCCCACACAGCCAGCTCTGAGTGAATTAGTTTCTCTACTGCAATTCCCCTGTCTTGATGAATTGGCTCTCTCTAGGCAAAGGGAAGGTTAACCCCTTGGGCGGTCACCCAAATATTCCATCTGCTACGGGCAAAAGAATGTGAGAAAAATACACATGGAAGGCAATAGAGAAGCACAGAGAAAGGGATTTAACCCAAGGATCAAAAAAAGGCCTCCTCCAGGGTGACACTCGACTTGGACTCCTAGGCTTGTGGAAGCTGGCCAGGCCACTAGATCTGCAAGCCCACGCAAGACCCTAGTGGACAAAAGAGATCAGCTCTTCCGAAGAGCTGAAGGTGTGGTACAGCTGGAGCCGGGACAGGGAAAGTGGAATGGAATTGGACTGGGCGGAAGGCCTGGTGAAGCAAAGCAGGGAGTGCGGGGTCAACCATGCAGGGGACAGCAGGGCGGTGGAAGATGTTAGGTGGGGTGTGATTGGATTACATTTACATTTTCAAAGAACAGCCTGGGAGAGTCTGAAAACCGGCCTGAAGGGAATCCAGGGAACAGCAGAAACCAGCCAAAGCCTGGGTCAGGTGGGGTGGCGGATGTGGCGCAGGGCCAGCCCACAGTGGGAAGCTCCCTGGATGCACTGTTCCAGGAGAAGGACACAGGGCCGAGCCCCTCTGGTTTGGCTGCCAGGGTGCTGATGGGTGGCACTATTTACCAAGATGGGGAGGGTGAGGGATGAGGGGTTGCTGGAGGCACACTGGCCTGGGGGCTTGAGGTGCCCAGCAGCCAGCAGGGAGGAGGAACACGGGCACCTTAGGAAGCTGGGCTGCGCATCCAGCCCCGGGATTGGCACACACAGCCGATGGGGGTGGGCCAGGGGGCTGGGTGAGGAGCAGCTCCAGGCAGAAACAGGCACAGGAGGGGAACTGAGCAGAAGCAGCAACACAGGAAAAATCCAGAAAGGTATGCTGTGAGGAAGACCAAGGGACATGAGGAGGTAGGAGCTGGAGGAGCGGTGACGTTTGGGGACACTGAGGTCCACCTGTTGCACCTATGGGGATCCCATGAGGAACGGGGGACCAGACGGCAGAAGGGTCTCTCAAAGACAGCCCCTCCTCTTTCAGTGGCCACCCTCAGGGAGGGAGGTACTGATCTGAAATGAGAAGCCAGAGACTTGGGGTTAGGTCCTGCCGACCAAGGCCACGTCGTGGCAAGTGGCCCTTAGGGGTCCGATCCGAGGCCTCCCCTGCTCTGCTGTCCAACGAGGGAGGGATGGTCCTGCCTTGGAAGCAGAAGCCACAGGGGGCGTGCTAAGCACAGATGAGGGAGACTCTGCAGCCTGGATGGAGGAAGGCCAGGGAACGCCAGGATGAGGCGCCTGGGTTTGTTCAAAGAAGGGGCCAACACTATTTGCTGAGGGTGAAAGCAGAACTGCAGAGCTGGGAACAGGTTCTCAGAGGGAAGCCTTTAAAGGAGGGGCGTGCTACCCACTGGGAGCCACAGGGCACTGAAGGGCCTGCCTGGTTCTGCGAGCTCCTCACAGCTCTCACACTAGCTGGTGGGACTGGAAACAAATAAAAACCCCGTTTGCTTTTCTCAAAGTGCTCTCGAACCCATGACAAGATCAAGTCCTAGACCTCAACTGGTGACCCAGCTGGGCTAGAAATGCTCGTGTGGAATTCTCCTGGGGGGTGTTTGTTCACAGATAACATAAAACTGAAATCCAAATACAATCTTCAGAATCCATTCTGGACGTTCATATACTTTACCTCTTTACTCCTCTCCGAAACTCAAAGAGTTTTTGTCCCTCTGGAATGGAAAATACCCTAATCACGGTCCCCTGTGGAAGAGAAAGAGAAAAGAAGAAAGAATTTTAGTTGAGTTAAAACAGGATTTTCCGATCTTTCACAGCAGACTGCAAATGTACCACACGGCTATCTCCAGGACAGCTCTGTGCTGGGCCACCAAGGAGTTTGGGGTCCTCAAGGGCCCCCCATGAGTATCACCTCCACACTTTTTGCCATGAGGATAGGAAAACACTCCCCTGTTCTATTGTGGTCTTACTGTTCAATCTTCTCTTTAAATCTATTTTAACTGACTACTGACTCTCAACACTAACAGCCTTGAGGGCAAAAGTGGCATATCATCGTTCTAGTGTTCTGAGTCATTTGAAGTTTAAACTATTAAAAATAAAAGCCTGGACTTGTGTGTGGCACACTGGCAAACCCCTGTGGTCTGACAAGGTTTCAGACCCCACTGAGGTCCTTTCCTGCTGCTTTCAATTCAGTTACTGACCAAGAGAACCGATTAGCTGCAAAGCTCAAGTATCTGGTAAGAGTAAATCCCAACTCATGAAATGGTAAGATGCACATGAAGAAAATCTTACTAAGACAAAGAACTAGGATTACATGGGAGCTCAGCATGTCCCTGGATTAATGGGAAGTTCTTGAAGATGCCAGCTTCCCCAACTAAGGTAATATCAGATCTGTGCATGATGAAACAGATGTGAATATCTGGGAGAATAAATAAGAGAAGAGCCAAGAAAATCATGAGCAGGACTTTCAATGCTTGAATATTAAAAGAATACTATCAGGTGATAATTTTAATGGTATTAAATTAGCACAAAAAGAGACTGATGGAAAGACAGGCCATCAAATGGGTAGCATTTCAAATTTGCAGGGCAGGAAGAATTATTCAACATTCATCCTCTGCAAATTTCAGGTTCAAACTGTTAAATATAAAAACTGTTAGGCATATCTAGGAAGGTGGGAGGCCGAGGCAGGCAGATCTCCTGAGCTTAGGAGTTTGAGACCACCCTGGGGGCAACATAGTGAAACTCCGTCTCTACCAAAATACAAAAAAAATTTAGCTGGGCGTGGTGGCATGTGCCTGTAGTCCCAGCTACTTGGGAGGCTGAGGCATGAGAATTGCTTGAGCCCCAGAGGTGAAGGTTACAGTGAGCCAAGATCACGCCAATGCACTCCAGCTTGGGCAACAGAGAAAACCTCTGCCAAAAAAAAAAAAAAAAAAAAAGAATATTAGGCCAAATGCAATAACTCATGTCTGTAATCCCAGCACTTGGGGAGGCCGAGCTGGGAGGAACACTAGAGCCCAGGAGTTCAAGACCAGTTTGGGAAACACAGCGAGACTCCATCTCTACAAAAAACAAAAAATTAGCCAAGGTTGATGCTGTACTCCTGTTGTCCCAGGAGAGGAGGCAGCAGTGAGCTGTGATCATGCCACTGCACTATCTGCCGTGCTTATAGATAGTGAAATGTGGTCGGGTGCGGTGGCTAACACCTGTAATCCCAGTACTTTGGGAGGCTAAGGTGGGTGGATCACGAAGTCAAGAGTTTAAGACCAGCCTGGCCAACATGGTGAAACCCCACCTCTACTAAAAATACAAAAATTAGCCAGGCCTGGTGGCAGGCACTTGTAGTCCCAGCTACTTGGGAGGATCACTTGAGCCTGGGAGGTAGAGGCTGCATTGAGCAGAGATTGTGCCACTGTACTCCAGCCTGGGTGACAGAGCAAGCAAAACCCTGTTTAAAAAAAAAAAAAAAATTGGCGCTTGAGGATAGCTGGTTCTTTCTGGATGGAGGGGCACAAACTGAATTTATAACACTGAGAATTAGGGGATCAAATATTTTCTGCATCCACACATAAAAATAACCAAAGCAAAGGTTTTATCCTCTGTAGCCTCAACTTTTAGATGGAGATACTTTTTTGGTGGCATATCTACTGTGCAATACTAATTAAGAGCTGTTTTGTTGGCCGGGTGTGGTGGCTCACACCTGCAATCCCAGCACTTTGGGAAGCCGAGGTGGGCAGATCACAAGGTCAAGAGATCAAGACCATCCTAGGCAACATGGTGAAACCCTGTCTCTACTGAAAAATACAAAAATTATCTGGGTGTGGTGGCGTGTGCCTGTAGTCCCAGCTACTCAGAGAGCTGAGGTAGGAGAATTGCTTGAACCCGGGAGGCGGAGGGTGCAGTGAGACGTGCCACTGCACTCCAGCCTGGCAACAGAGTGAGACTCCATCACAAAAACAAAAAAATAAAGAAAAAAAGAGTTGTTTTGTTGCCACATGACCGCAAGATTCTTTTTTTTTTTTTTTTTTTTGGGAGAGAATCAACAATAATATTCTAATAATACAAGCAGACTTCTTGGGGGGAGGGAGAGAGGGGAGAAAAATAGGCAAAGGGGAGAAAGGACAATGTATTTCTGAGGGTCAGAAGCCTAAGATTCTTGAAAGTAGGGTTAGATCACAGGTCTCAGTGGGTCCTCGGCACCTGGGACAGAGCAGGGCTGGGAAAGTCTTGATGCTCTCACTCGAGACTAGGAGGATTCGTGTAAAAGCAATCACGTTTGCTCTTTATAGTCCAAAAAATATTATTCTATTTTTATGGGCCTTAAAATTCATCAAGTACCTTTGGGCCTTTGTAAGAGCTACTGAAAAACGTAACAGTGAGACTTTGATTAGTTAAGAAGTAACAATTTCAGGGCCATTTCAAAGGGAAATGAAAAGGACAAGGTGATATTGGGATAGTCTAGCACAATTAGAATCAAAGTCAGGCTTGGTGTCTGACCCCTCTGTTGCTGCCTGGCTGGGCAGCCCAGACACACTGCTTAACCTCTCTGAGCCCTTGCTATGAAATGCAAAAATGTTTACCTTGCTGAGGGGAAACAAATAAGGTAATGAAGATAAAAGATCCAGGATAATGCATGACACAGAAGTGACCCATTAATGGTGACATCATTATTACAGAACTCAGGTGTGAGATTCAAGAACAAAGACCCAGGCAGGAAAGATAAGGAGGTGAGCGGCTTTTTATTGTATCTCATCTGCTTGGTACAGTAGTTTGAGGAGAGAGAGGACTTGAAAGGGGAAGCTATCTGAGGATTTCAATGAGAAGCAAAATCAAATCCAAATCAAAGCAACAGTCTTCTGTGGGCAATGAAGAGCAGGACTGGCATCCAGAGGAGATGACGGAGGCGGGAGAGCAGACGCGACCT